TCAGCTTATAAAGGCACCGGCGAACGCACTTGAACAGACAGCGCGTCACTGACACGCGTTCTCGCCGATACAATCAGCACACGTGCCCGATACATCATCTCTCGTGGCACAAAACAAAACAAACACTTGGATAACAAGAAACATTCGCCACAGCTTATAGCACTTGATTAAAGTGTTCGTCATAATGCAGTCTCTGTGGGGAGCGGGTGGCACGCGTCGACTTACTGGAAGCTGGCAGCGACGGGATGCCCAGCGAAGAAACATCGTTGCTTGCTAGTAGTGTTGTTCCCTTGGGTGGTTCTGGAGATGTAGCTTCACCTGCTTGAGCAATTGATTTTGAGGCTGCGGTAGGATCCGGTGAATGGGAGTCTATATTTGTGGGACTCTCGTCATAGTCATCACTGTCACTGCTACACTGTTCCTTTGTCCTGAGGAAATGTCGGCGATTTCGTCGCAGCACGTGGCGATCCCGAGTTTTTACCAGGTAAAACCGTGGAGTAGTTTCTGCGACCACCTTCCCCCTTTGCGACCAGCCAGCAGCATCCTGAAGCCGGACAGTTGTGCCCTTCTGTAGTACTCCCAAGGGCTTGCCAGCTTTGTCTTGGCGCTGCTTCGTCACATTCGTCCAGGGCACCCTGTGACAGTCGGGAAGGTTAGAACGAAGTCTCCTTCGTTGCAGAAGTTCACCCGGGAAAAGCCCGCCTTCTAGGGGCGCTGACTGATAGGCTAGGAGACCCAGCAAGAAGTCTTCCTTCGCCTCTATAGTTTCTTTCAAGATTCGTTTTACTGCTTGCACGCCCTTCTCCGCCAAGCCGTTGGACTGCGCGTAATGGGGGCTTGAGGTTAAATGCTTAAAAGTCGTATCTCTTGGCAAAGCTGGTAAATTCGTGGCTGGAAAACTGGGGTCCGTTATCCGTACAAACTTCTACTGGTACCACGTACTGGGCGAACATAGTGCTAAGAGCGGTGATCGGGGTTGCCGCGGTTGTGTCTTTGAGCTTTTCGACCTCGGGAAAACTTGAAAAGGCGTCGTAGGCAACGACGTACGACGTTCCAGCATAAGAAAATCTATCAACTCCAACCCTGTACCAGGCACATTTGGGCACTACTCGCATTAGTAACGGTTCCTGTAACTGTCGGTACGCATATTTTCTGCACGTTGCACAGCTGTCAACCAGCGCTGTGATGTCGCCGTTCAATCCAGGCCAAAACATAAGTGTTCGAGCCCTCTCTTTACACTTATGCAGCCCAAGGTGACCAGCATGAACCCTCTTCAGCATGTACTGACGCATACTCCGTGGTATTACAACTTTAGGACCCTTAAAGATCGCTCCATTAACGACTGACAGTTCTTTCGAAAATGGTTTGAGTTCACCTGTTACCGGTTGCCCACTTGCCAAACTTGTCATTACAGACTGGAGGTAGCTATCTTGAGATGTTTCCAACTGTAGCAGCCGCTGCGTTTCCGGTGTCACCATGTAGCATAAGGACCCCACCGCATGAGCCTCGACGTCATTGTCAGAGTCAACTTTGTCGTGTCCAGGATCCGCTGTTGCTCGTGACAGCATGTTGGCGAGAACAAGCTGCTTTCCGGGAATGTACTGCAACACAGTCATATTTTAGCAATCTCAACAAGAACCTTTGCACCCGCGGCGGCATGTCTGTGATTTCTTTTTGTACGATCGCTACCAGCGGCTTGTGGTCCGTTTCAATCCACACCGTCCGTCTGTACACGAATTTGTGAAACTTCTCACAGCCAAAACATATCGCCAGGGCTTCCTTTTCGATTTGCGCGTAGTTTTTTTCCGCAACTGTTAAGACCCGAGATGCATACGCTACAGGCTGCCATTCATCATTGTAACTTTGCAATAACGCTGCGTCAACACCGTCTTTCAATGCGTCGCAGCTTATGTTGGTATCTCGCTGGGGATCAAAGGTATCTCGCTGGGGATCAAAGCTGGCAAGCAAAGAAGTGGTGGTCAGAACTTGCGTCAATAGTTTCCACTCTCGTGCGTGGTTCACTGTCCATTAGAACTCTGACCGAGACCTGATAAGCTCGCGTAAAAGCGTCATTCGCTCAGACAACCGCGGCACAAATTTTTCGAAGTAGTTAAGCACCCCCAGCATGCGCTGGACGTCGTTTTTAGACGTTGGCGTCGGCATTTCCGCCAAGCTTTTGATTAGTTTCGGGTTAGGCAATATGCCTGTTCGGCTGATGAAATCACCGAGAAACTTCACTTCTTTCACCCCTATCCTGAATTTTTGCATGTTTAAAGTCAAGCCTACTTTCTCGGCAGCTTTCAGCACTGCTATTAACTGCTCATCGTGTTCTTGCTTGCTAGAACCCCATACTAAGATGTCGTCAATGTACACCAGACCCGGTAGGCCGTCAAACACTTGACTCATGCTTTGCTGAAATACCTCTGGTGCGGAAGAAATGCCGAAAGGCAAATGGAGGAAGCGGTACCTCCCGAACGGGGACGAGAACGTGCAGATCTTAGAGGTTTGTTCATCAAGTGGTATCTGGTGATAGCCCGAGTTCGCATCAAGACTGCTGAAGTATGTGGCATTGGTTAGACGTGCTGCCGCCTTATGTACTTGTTGACAGCTCTGGGGTCCATGCACACCCTTAGCGAACCGTCTTTCTTCTTTGCCAGAACTAATGGGCTGACCCAGTCAGTTGGTTCATTCACTTTAACAATGATGCCAGCACGTACCATTCTTTCAAGTTCCTTTTTAAGTGTTCTTGCAGCGCCACCCGAACCCGACGAGCTGGTTACACGACTGGCACTGCTCCATGTTTTAGGACCATGCTGTATGCCTGTTGCAAACAACCAAGCCCTTCAAATACATGTTCAAATCTTTTGGGAAGTTCGTCCCTTGCAGTCTTATCAACGAGGCAAACATTACGCTTGACTAGTCCCAGAGCTTCACTTGCTTCGAGTCCGAGTAAAGCCTGCCGACCATTTTTCACAACGAAAAACATAACGATAGCTGTAGCATTCCCAAGTTTTACCTCGTGCGTACGTACACGTTCCAAAACAACATATGGTACCGCCGTTATATGCCCGCAAGACAGAGTTCGTCGGTTTCAACTCGCCTGCTCCGTGCAGTTTTCGGTAAATTGACATAGAAAACAAGCTTGCTTGTGATCCGGTGTCAACTTTGAATTTTATTTCGCAGTTGCTAACTTCAGCCTTAACCATCCAATCCCTCTCGCATCTTGCTGTTGCGACCTCGAGGATATCAAAGTCCTCTTCTGGTCGTTTGCCAACTTCACTTACTACAGCTGACGAACAGCAACTTTCGAAGTGTTTAGGCTTATGACACAATCGACATTTTCTTGCTGGGCATTGTTTTCATTTGTGCCAGCGGTTGCACCGGCGACAGCGATGTTGTTCTTTCGCCTGTTTTCCTTCCTTTGGGGTTGACGGGCGCCTAGAGACCGTGTCCACACTGTCTTCGCTTTTACGCCACATTTCGTTTCGCTGTGCTACCGTTTCTGCTGCCCTGCATATTTCCTCCGCTTTTTGCAACGTCAACTTGTTGTCCCCCAGCATTTTTTCGCGTAGTCTAGGATTGTGCGTGCCAAATACAATGCGGTCCCTTATCATCGAGTCCTGCAATATGCCAATGTTACGCTGGGCTGCTTGCTTTTTCAGTCAAGAAGAACTCTTTCAAATGGTTCCCCTTCCGCCTGCTTTCTCGAACGGAATACATATCTCTCGTGCACTTCATTGCTAACTTCGGCGCAATAGGCATCAAACTTGCTCACCACGGTGCTGTAATCATTCTTGTCCTCGTTCGGCCCAAACTGGAAGTTGTTGAAGACGTCCAACGCGTCGTCACCGGCAATGCTCAGAAGTAGTGCTGCCTTCAATGCTTCCGTTTTCGGCTGCTCCACTGCCGCCGTTGCCTGAAAAAATAATTCAAACTTCTGCTTAAACCGCTTCCAGTTTTCCGTGACGTTACCGGACAGTCGCAATGGCTCTGGAGTCTTCAGGAGATCTATGAAGTAGCAGACGCGAGGTCGGTTTCCTCCGGGGTCAAGGGGCCGCTTCTGACACCATGTATGGCTAGCGCCTCGAGCAGATGGACGACGCTGACAGCAGCATGGTCGGTGCAAGAAAGATGACGGTGTTTATTGGGGCTCAGCTTATAAAGGCATCGGCGAACGCACTCGAACAGACTGTGCATCACTGATGCGCATTCGCACCGATCAGCACAATCAGCACATGTGCCCGATACAGACCCTATAAGAACAAAGCTTCTTAATTGGGAGCAGCACTAATGGGGTAGCGCTCCGCATGTTTCTGGTTATTCTTGGCTTGGCATGTGTGTTTGCACTTCTCTCCTAGGTAAGGTTGAAGTGCTTCTCTACAATGGATTGCCAATGCAGGAATTTCTCTGTTTTATAGTGGACCGATCCGCTCTACGCTTACTAAAGTTAACGTAAAAAGTGTGTGCGCGTGGTATATTGTTTCCATTTGTTTTTACAATGGGAAAAGCTGCAGTTAGCAGCCTGTGGTCATGCATTTAGAGTTAAAACGTCAGTTGCAAGTGAAATTGTTCATTCAAATTAAAGACCAGTTTGTTTTTTACAGCCATTTGTCTTTTACATCTGGTGTCTGTTTGAAAAATAATACACTTGTTGGGAGAGATAAGGTAGCCAACCATGTGGATGAAATATATCTGTTGTCTCTTTCCATCTTGTAAAGGGGTTCACTTGGAACGGGCCAATAGTATAGGCATGTTCTTGTACTGTCCTTGCAACCCATGACAAGCCCTCATTCTCATGCCTTGCTGCTGAGTACTACCATGTTCTCCTGTAAGTTATCACAACGCCATCCTCCTAGTGGGACTAGGTCCTCAATCATTTATTCTACTTCAGCCCGAATCTCACCAATTATTACAAATGATGGGAAATGTGAGAAAGTGTACATACACGTCTGTTTTAATCCGTTTTACTTTTCACCTTTGCAACATATCGTTATGGTACGTGTGCCTGCAGGGTGGTGAATTTGAGCAGCGTGTGTGGCATGCTTAAGAGGATTCCTGGAAAAGAAATCAGGGAGAGGCTTCGCAGGCCTGACATTACTCTGGAGGAGCTCTGTGGCCTCATGAACGAGTTTGTACAGTGAGTACTTGTTTCACAATATTGTGGTGTAGCATGCCGATTCATCTCGTGCCTGCAGTCATGGCATTATTTCTGCTTAGCTGTGCTGACCAAGAGATCATTCGCACATCTGTCAAATGCCCTGTGCTGTCACGGTCCCGGCGCCGGTTTTCGTCATGTGAGAGGATTTCTGAGCTGTTTTCAAAAACTGGTTGATGGCGACGTTCAGCGATGCAGTACGTTTCCGTCACTGGCATTGGGACAGAGCCCCACCCCTCATACTAGTTTGACATCATATTAGTACGTGTTACTCCGTGGTGCACCTGGCCAACAAAAGCTAACGGGGAGAGCACAAAGGAACGCAGGGGTAGTGCGACTGGCTCACTGCCACACGACGGCGGTGTTGCCAGCTCTGTTGATCAATACCGTTTAATTTCTCGATTCACGACAACGTTGATATGGTGATGTACTATTGACTGTTTATTCTTGTTTGCATTAACACTGTACTAACACAACCTGGTTTAATTTATTTACTCGAAAAAAAAAAAAAAATTGGGCCATCTCCCGCTAAAGGGAACCATGTGTAGATGCGAAGCAGTGGGCGCGAACGCTTACAATGGCGGGGACGTTGACGTTGGCGCTCATCAAGTGAAAGTCAAATAAAGACGCCCCGTGACTGAATTCCGAACGTGCGATCCAGTGCCTACATATACGGCTGACCAGTGAACGGTTATGCGGAGCGAGCAGTCGGTTTTTACTAGCAGAGAGAGGTGGAGGGAGGGGACAGTTTAGCGGGTGTCACACGTGGCGAGCAGGGACAGGTTAGGCAAAGAGTGACGTCAAGGCGCGCACACTTCGAGGAAAGGTATAACCTACTTAGCACCGCCCCGAAATTGTGCGCGCTTTTTAAAAAGCACATTTATTTTGACACACTCTTACAGTTGAACGGAACACATATGCATCACAATGCGCTCAAGCATCCACTCTTGCCCCGCCGCGGTGGTCTAGTGGCTAAGGTACTCGGCTGCTTACCCGCAGGGCGCGGGTTCGTATCCCGGCTGCGGCGGCTGCATTTTGATGGAGGCGGAAATGTTGTAGACCCGTGTGCTCAGATTTGGGTGCACGTTAAAGAACCCCAGGTGGTCTAAATTTCCGGAGCCCTCCACTACGGTGTCTCTCATAATCATATAGTGGTTTTGGGACGTTAAACCCCACATATCAATCAATCAATCAGCATCCACTCTTGTTGAAATGTAATCCCATTTGTCTTTTTCCTTTTCGATGCTTCAAAGTAGGGGTGTGCGAATATTCGAAAGTTTTAAATATTCGGCAAATATTGCATTTGTAATATTCATATTCGATTCGATAACCATATATTAGAAAATTTCAAATAATCGAACTAGCTTGAATATACCTCAAAGATTCGATGTTCACGAATATTCATTCGTAGGATCGCGCAATCATTCGAATGCTTCGAATATTTAAACGAATATTACGGTATTCGAATTCGCTTCTGTTCGAATTTAAGTTATTGTCCTCCCATTTGTTTTTCTCCTTTTCGATACTTCACTGTAGGGGTGTGCGAATATTCGAAAGTTTTGAATATTCGGCGAATATTGCATTTGATATATTCGTATTTGATTTGATAACCACATATTAGAAAATTCTAAATAATCGAACTAGCTTAAATATTCCTCGAAGATTCGATGTTCACGAATATTCGTTTATAGGATCGCGCAATTATTCAAATGCTTCAAATATTCAAACGAATATTAGGGTATTTGAATTCACTTCGGTTCGAATTTAAGTTATTGAAAATTTCGAAGTATTCGCAGGGAACAAATAGGCGCATATTAATCCGGACGTACCACCTCTAAAGGTTGTTTCACTGCAGTATAGGGGTGCTGAAACGTGAGAGCACCTATTTAGGAGAAATTCGCTCTGCCATGAAGCCCCTATTCAATTTTAAAAAGGCCTTGCAACACTTTTTAAGCATTGTCAGAAAACACTGCCAATCGATAGTCAAGGCTACTGAGGACACGCAAGTCAAATATTATAGTGCAGCAAACGGAGTGCGATTCACAGTAAATTCTCAAAGGCAGGTTAAATTTGCTCTCTTCTTTCGGCAAATGACTCCACAAGCTCAGAAAGCATGCGTGACGTATTTCATTTCCCTGTGCCATTCCTCCCTTCTTAGCTTCCAGTGCTTTCATCGGGATGAGAAGAGGGAATGCACTAGCAGCATGCGATAAATCTTTGCAACTCCGCGTTACTGGACGGATTCTAAAAATATTTGCGGCGGTGAATTCATGAGGCAATAAATAAGCTTCTTTAGTGAATGCATTCCATGACTACTTGAAATTGTGTCGCACGACCCCTTTAAGTCAAAATATTACTCTCAAATCAATTCATTTTATTAAGCTAAAAAGCTACTTATGACTGCTTATATGCTCTAAGTATAATAAATCTTAAAATGTTTCGTATTTCAAGGGTTATGACGTATCCTGCTGAAAGTAAAATTCTGCTTATACTCGAAGTTCTTTCGACTTTTTTTTTTTAACTAAAAAAAACTAATTTGCATATAGGCTCTATTTCATTTTTAAAAAATATTGCGCAAGTTATTTACGTCACTTGAAATATGCTATTTTTTCTTTATATGTCATATATACTATTCGACCACTATCACTATTCACTTCCAACCTAAAATTCACTATTGGCACAAGCTTATTCAATCGCATATGTCACTGTGAAAAATTTATGATTTTGTGCCTTTGTCATAAAAGCCACAGTAAATTTTGCAGCGATTACTATGACTTCACCGTAAGAGCGGTGATGCTTGCATGGAAATTCATGGGAGTCTGATGACAGCTACCAATTAATGCTGCGGCAAGTTATTGCGACAAACCTACCAATGATAAATATCTCAATCAATCTTTATTATGTACTGCTTGCGCAGCAGTACGTGTGGCTTAGCGGTTTAGCACTGTTACAGTTTACGTAAGCGTACCGACCAGGTCGTCTGTTGCCACGCCTTTGTGCGCGAGACCACAAGTGCATATCGCTCGTGGAAACGAAGGCAACTCACCACTGCCGCATCGGTTCGACGAAATAGTCTTCACACCTTTGCTTGGTCTCATGCTGAGCGAGCATGAAGAAAAAAAATCTCTGCGCAAGGGCGAATGCACGTGTATATGTTACATGGCGCGGCGCTGATGGAGTGAGCTTAGTAGGCGATGCACTGTATGCAACTAGCTAGAAGCGTGCTCAGATTGACGTATGATAACATGTTTCATGTATAGCAGGCCAGTTTTTGCCAATGGATCACCGTAGAAACGTATGCGCACATGTCGAAGCTTAACGAGTCGCCCGTCAGCTGTGCCGCCACTTCAGCATGTGTACCTTCTTCATACTTCTAAAATAATTTCATGATAGGGGATATGGTCAGGCAAATGAGCTGAAGTGTGTTTCTGCACAATGGCAAACATAGAAAAGGCCATGCACTTTGGGTAATGTTACAATGGCATCCACTGATGCTGATGCATGCAAGGTGATGGACGGATTACTGCGTAGCGTTCCTCAAAGAGCCTTTGAAAATCCGTAGTACGGGCATCGTGCTTGCGCGGCAACGTCACCTGCAATCAACCCTCCGTTACACCATTGCTACGATCTTGCTTTTTTGCTAACGTCAGTTTACTGCTGTCTGTAGCCAGCGCGCCGAAAGGGGTCGCGATGCGGCAAAATAGTGCCCTCGCCATCGGGAGTTGTGGCTCTGTCAACAAAAAGGCATATTTGGGGCATATTTTTATCACACATCAGTAATCACCTATCTCACGCGCTTACCTCATGTTGTTGCTGCGTGCGCGGTACATCTCGGTCACGACCGTGCAACGATCAGCACAGCACAGCATTCTTGATCAGAAAATGGCGAGCGCGGTTCTAGAGAAAGTCAACGGAGGCAAGCGAGATAATGAGTATTGCTGCATAGTTGAAAAAAGCCCCAAGTACTCCTATTTTCCTTAGTGAGTTGACCAGATAAGAGAACAGGGGACAAAATTAAAAAGAATACTATAAAATCAAGGTTTTTCGTGCCAGAACTGGATGAATTGTGACCACCTAGACTGCTTTAATAATCCCTTAGACTTAAGTACACGGGTGTTAACTGTACAAAATCAAACCGGTGGCCTCATGCTTACTAGTCATCAAGGCAGGTACAAAAGGTTTGTTCATCATGTGAATTTAACCCAACATCACAGTCACAAGCTCAATCTTATGCTTTCTGGCAAGTGCAGATGGTGACATTATTTTTAAATTTTGTGTGCAATAACCGACTATAATAACAATTGTACTGTTTCCAACCTAAATATATGGTTGAGTAAAAGATTACTGGTGGGAAAAAAATTGCACTTCTTCATTATTCAATATTCGTTTCGTATTTGAAGCTATGTATTCGTATTCGAAAATTTTGATATTCGTACACCCCTACTTCAAAGCGTTCACGTGCCTGCACGCCTGCTGCTTTTTTGGCAGGCTTTGTAGCTTTTGCTCAAAACCAGACCTACTTATGGTATCGCTCAACTTTGCAATGCTGCATGCGCTTTTGTCGGTGCAGCTGCGCATTTTTTCGCGTTACCTTTGTGTTAAGTTAGCTTTTGACTGTATTGCTTTTGTACCCTTACTGTACGTCTCATTTATCAACAGCCTACAAACCTGCAATATTTCCCATGATAGTTCCCACGGCATCGACATAGAAAATTATCATAATGTGAGAACTGTTTGTACTGTAGATATTTGTAAAACCAATTTCACTTTTACCGGTGTTACAGCGTAGGATGGGGTGCCTTCAACCATGGCGCTTCCATGTTGCAAGTCGTATGAAGCGCCACTGTACACATGACATGAAATGAAGATTTGAAGCATTACTTGAACACAAACAGTCGTGTTCAATTCTGGGCTCTCCAAGAACCAGTCAGGCTGTTCAGCTTCCCTCCAAGGAGTGTGTTTTATTTTTATTTGTGCACTTGGTATTCCCGTTTCTGTCTCAAACCCCTCGCAAGGAATTATGGCATCGATTTCGAACGGGAGGCCCTTGACATTAGCAATGCTGTCGACACCCTTTCTTTTGACAAGAACACCCTGTACAGTCATGTCCAATATGCGTTGCAACATTCTACCCATGGTCAAAGCGGCGCCAGCACTGCATGGTGGCATAGACACAGAAAATGTTCACTAATGTGAGAACTGTTTGTACTGCTTATATTTGTAAAGCCAATTTCACTTTTGCCAGTGTTACAGCTGCGGGGTAGTGCACTGCAGTGGCGCCTCAGCTTCACGCTATGTTTGCACGGGCAGCGGCAAGGAGGTTGCGGGAGAGGCGGCACTGTGCCGCTTTCGTAGCCTTTCGTGCCCTGCTCCTTGGCTGAAGCCGAGATGCCCCGTTTCCCTCCTTGCCCTTTTCTGGGGAGACTCCTTTCCAGACCCCAGGAACGCGCATCACTTTGTTGGGGGGCTCGTCATCTTTCGACTCAGGGAGTCATGATGGACACAGCTCAATCGAGTTGGGAGACATTTAGCCGCCATCACCCTTTCCGCACCGCCCGGTTCTTTGTGGGTGACCCACTGTCCCAGCGCCGGAGTCCAAAGCCTCGAGTGGCGAGTTGAACCTTATGGCTCTTTCTCTCGTGCGCTTCGCATTTTGTGCCCTTTTCCACGTTGCCGTGCGAAACTAATCTGCCAATTCGTCGTTGTATATTGTTGTGTTAGTGGCACTTGACACTTTGATAAACAGTGTTCGGCATAAACTCGTCTCTCTTACCCCTGGCCTGAAACCCGCCGAGATCGTAACTAACTGTGAAGCACGAATTAGGGGTCTATGTTAGCTGCTGCGTAGTGCTAGTAGCGAGTGACGAACGCTTCGCTGGCGCGTGGTGCGATTCACAGAACGGACAGTCTCGCACGCGTGGATCTGCTTGTTACAAAGTAACCCCTATACAGCGTAGGCTGGGGCGCCGTCAACCATGGCTCTTCCGTATTGCAAGTCATATTGAGTGCCATATGCCATGCAATGAAGGGTTGATGCATTACTTGAGTACAAAGGTAACTTTCCAAACCACAGTTACAACACTTGACGTACACACTGAGAATGCTACAACGTCCGTGTTGTTTGGGGTGACGTGTCTTGCGCAGTACTTACTGGGAAGGTCATCTTGCATCACACCCTTCGAGATATCGTAGCCGCCGTTACATTTAGTCGAACTTGTGAAACATTCGTTTCAGCACTGTGCAGTTCATTCTTGATAGAGTCCACCTTTCTTCGCTTATAAGGCAACACCGTCTTTCTTTCATGAGGCAGTTTCTTTGAGAGGTAAGCAGGCACATTAGGAAATATCGTGAAAATAGCGTTCGTCTGCAGGTAGGGCGATCACAGGGGACTTCCACAGACTCACCATTGATGACATGCTTGTATACATACAAACGACGAATCTCTCATCTAAATGAGCCTCACACATAACGCAGTTGATTCCTCGCGAGCACGAGGAATCACGTGCCTTGCGCCGTTCATTGTAGACGGGAACAGTGAGGATTGATGCCTTGTTCGCTAGTTTGCGAGCTGAAGGTGCAAAGAAGGGTTCTTGCAATTTAGAAACCACTGTAGCGTGGACCAATCCCAAACAAGTTCAAACCGGCACACCACCGCAGACAATTTTACAGCTTGTGCCCGTTCCGGCCTAAGCGGCGAAACACGCGGCGACGGCGGGTGCCGACAGGTGCTCACGACAGATCTCAGTAGTGACTGACGCACCACCCCGCAGCTGCATGAAATATCAGCACCCCTCTGAACACGGCGCGGCTGAGGCGATGCAGGCAACTCTCCTTCTAGCCACCGTAACGTTGCAACCGGTTGCAGCTGCCGTTGTTTGTTTGTACAGAGCTTCGTTGCATCTGCTCTATGTTTTTCGTGACGCGGTAAGTTGTTCCACGGTTGTGTGAATGAACACGGACAATTCTATCATTTTTCTTATCCAAAAAGGGCCGCAAAAGAAGGCAAGAATGAAGAGAAAGGTTGGGGGCGCTCTGCTTACAATGTGTCCAAGGTTGGCATCACTGTGCTGAGCTTCATCCAGCAGCGTGAATTTGACGCAGACCCTCGGGAAGACCTTATTGTAAATGCTGTAAGTAGTGGCTTTACCTTTGTAGTTATAGTTTTGTAAGTTCTAGTCTAATTTGGTAAGTTGGTTGGGCATGGCGAGTGTGGGAGTGCACTAGAAAAACGAGGACAGGGCATAGACAATGTTGTGCTATATGTGTCTTTTTCTCACTCATTGTCCATGTTTCTTAAGCCGTTTCCCGCATATGTTGTCATGATCATTTGCTTTTTTCTTTGACACAAATGAACCTACATAAGTGTGTCATATATTTTTTTTCCCAGTATTCTAATGTGTTTTGCCCGCACGTAGATGTAATGTTGCATAAACACTTTCATTAGTGAAACGAGATTGATTTGTAGTTTTTGTGGTTAAATAGGGTAAGTGATCATCAATGACAAGCTATTATTACTTGGTACACTAGTATAACTGGTAGCACTTTTTTTTACAGGAATTTGATAAATAGTCCAGAAATCGAAGTAACGCTTAAAAAAAATTTTGAATGAAATTGATTGAACAAAATATGAAAAGGACTAAGTTCGTCAATGCTTGTGCGTGCCGTGCAAAAAGAAATGGACTCTGTGACGACGCGGTAACAACACACACAATGCTTATAATATAGAAAGAAGGAAAACTACACACAAATGTACATGAACACAAATCTACATGAACACGACAAATTAATGGGTCTATTGTGAGAACAATAGACCGAAGTTCAAGAAACGAAGTTCAGGAACCTCGTGGTACGAAGGATGGTATGACGGACGCTTTGGTGCAGGGCAAGTGGCGTGCGAAAAGCACGATGAAAGTGCCCACATGTCAAAGTGAGATGCTTTGGTGACGACGGTGCTTGACGCCATGGGTCCGACTACGAAAGCTGTCAACCCGCATGGGAGACACAATGCTCCATGCAGGGAAGGGTCAGCCCGTCCAGCGAACAGTTTGTGTCTAGATGCGATGCTTGGCGCAGCCGTGACCATTAGCCAGGCCACATCCATCGCTGTGCCGAACGGCTGATCACGGAGATGCCTCGCCGAGATCTGCAATGCGCTCAGCAAAGAACAGAGCAGCAGGCAAGGCCGCACCTCGAGATGCAGTACTCGTGCTGGCAATGCTGCCCCAGCTGGTGGTTGGACAGCTGCAGCGTGGGCGGCCGCGTTCCCTGGCCGGAACCTGAATCACCGGCGTCCGACACTTCGGCCCGCTGTCTTCCGTCTGCTGCGGCTTTTGCTCGTCCCCAGCCACGAAGCTTCTCGCCACGTAATGCTCACACGTGGCCCAAACGTAGCATGCCACATCTATGGGCCACCACAGGTCATCAGCTGATTGGCAGGCATTACGCGCACAGTTGGCACGAAATCACATGCGCTCACCACCACACCTTGGTCGTCGTCATCGTTTTTGTTCACTCATCACAGATGCGGGTTTGTCTGATTACACAGCATGTGAAGTGTCATCTTTTGACACCTGCAACGTGTCCTGACAAACGGGACCACATGTGTCATAGTCACCAACCACTTCTTCATCATCTTTTGATTGATAACAAAATATTGTGTAAGGTCAACTTGCTTAGTGTTCACACACGTGTGTAGAGGGCTCGAGCGAGGAGGCTGTTTTACAATTCACCTGTGCAGAATTTTTGGCCTTAATAAAGGAATGTATATCAGTTTAACTTTAGCTTCCTACAACCAATATTCCTCCTTTTGCTTTCTTTCTTGTTTTGAATGTGGTTTTTAAGTCACAGAGGCCAACTAAACATAACGGGTGAACCACCTGTTTTCTAGGCAGGACACAGACTCGTGTTCGCAGACGGGGCTGTGTGTTGATAAGGGCTCATGAGTGAAATGTACTGTGCAATAGTTGCAATGGTACAGCCACGATCAAGCACGCTGCTCTTCCACTGCATGTCTTGCATTTCGATCTTAACGCTTTGAAGAGACACTAAAGAGAAAGATGAATTTTCGTGTAGTAGTGAAGCACTGTTTCCCAACCTCGAAAACAGCACTCTTACCATAGGACGGTGCTTGGTAAGCTAAAAAATGGTCAAAAAGAAAATAGGGTGAAGATGCCACCCTGAAATTCCTTCACCTGACACTGTGATGTAATAGATTATTACGGTGTTCACTGGGTCCTATGGGTCTTTTAATAGATAAAAACGAAGCACATTACATCTCTGGGTTTCACAGACCACCATACGAAGTGTCAGAAAATTTCTTTGAGTAAACGTCATGAAAATGCAAAAAATTGATTTTGAAGCTTCTGACGTCGTGTGCAAAGATTGTGGCATGAAATTTAAAGATGAAACTTCGACCTTGATTTTCTCTGCTAATAATGAACTTACGGTAATAGTGAAACACGTGGCATTAGAGTTCTCAGGGTGCAGTTCGTCAATCCAAACCATGTTTTTGTTTGAAGAGGGTAGCCTACTGCGCTGTACACTAACTTGGCTTCGTTCTCATGTCCTCTTCACCTACCCCAACACAATGTGATAAATTAGTTAAATGTATGCAAGCTTAGATACGTGCACAGAAGGTGTCATATGTGTTCACATTATTTGGCAACATTATACACAGATGTAATGAAAACATTATATGTATTTTCAGTGAAATGGCTATGGTTTAGTGACTCATTGTCAGATATTTTTATCTAATTGTTTATTTGCAGCTACTGTGAGATCATTGGGCTGTTGTGGGGATGGGGCACAAATCTGACACAAAATCCATCACTTCTTAAATGAAGTATAGCTAATAAATAAAATCTATAAATCACGGTGTGTCGCTACTTTTACATAAATAGTAAATGAAATCTGACATGAAAACTGTCATGCCAGTCATAAAGCAGCAATACATAGCTGATAGGAAAAATTTACATTACGATTCTTCATTCCACTGCTTACAACATACATGTTGCATAATCTCTATCACAATATCATGCATCACAATACTGAATTCTACAACGTAATATGTCATATTAGTCAAGTGCAACTGCATTATTAAGAAAAAAAGAGCTAGCATTCGTGAGGATTCACTTTAAAATTTTGGCAGCATTGGTTTAAAATTATTTGACAATTTCACAGTCATGCACATATTAGTATCTGGCAAATCATTTCAGTCTTTTAAAGGGGCCCTGAAACGCTTTTTCAAGTAATCACGCAATGAATTCACTGGAAAAGCTTGTTGCCTCACGAATTCAACCCCACAAAATTTTTAAGAATCCGTCCAATGCGAGTGGAGTTGCAAAGGTTTGTCGCATGCTGCAATTGCATTCTCTCTTCTCTCGTCCTGATGAAAGCGCTGGAAGCTAAGCAGGGAGGGATGGCAGGGCCACAGAAAAACGTCACACGCGCCTCTTGGCCTTGAGCACTTTTTCTTTTTTTTTCTTCAAGTGCAGTGCTTTTTGGTGTGATCGCGCACGCACGCATAGACAAGTCGCGGTTTCCCGCGGCGATCTCTGTAAGGAGCGAGCGCGCGATGTTCAAATCAGCCAATGGCTGATAGATAAGTAATTCACATGTGATTTTTCTGCCATTTGTCGAGAGAAGAGAAAGCAATTTTTGGATTTTTCTGCCATTTGTCGAGAGAAGAGAAAGCAATTTTTGGTTGACTGATAATTTATTGTGAATTCCAGGCTGTGCTATAATATTTGGCTCGTGTGTCGTCTGGAGCCTCTACTATCTATCGGCAGTGTTTTCTGACCATGCTCAAAAAGTGTTGCAGGGCCCCTTTAAGGTACTAGGGGGGTGGGGGAATACGCTTACGTGCTCACGCGAGATTGAGGGATTAAAATGTTTTTGTTGCGTCACTTGGTAGGTTTCAGACTTGCCACGGGATGAGCTGCTCTGCATCAATGTTAAATCTATTTCCAAAAAGTAAAAGCAGTTCTCATAGAAAAACAAGGATTTTAGTCTTGCTATGCGACAGCATTTCAGGCGGGTGGGTAAATTTAGTCCTCGCAGCACTTCTACTACACGATCAGTTCAGAGCCCTTAAAAGAATAAATTTAGCCGCTCTTCTTTGCACTTGCTCGATTTCGTGGATTAATCCTTTCTGATAAGGGTCCCATATGATGGCTTGCATATTTCAATGTAGTTTGTGCTTTAGTCATCATATGCACCAAATATTCTTATGTCATTAAAACTTCCTCCTTTTGCCATTCTATAATTGTTGCACAACGTTGTACAAGTGCCATACTTTCTTGTGTACTGTGTTGTTTACAAGTACAGAATCTCATTCATACTGTATTGGAACTCTCATGCTTCATTGTCATTATAAAGGTGCACCCAGGCTATGTTGATACGGACATGACAAGCCACAAGGGGCCTTTAACGCCCGACCAAGGTGAGCATTTCACGTGTGCTGCTCCTTTTCTTATTTTAGTATTCATTTATTTTCATTATTCTTACAAGCTGTGTTTTCCTTTTTTTAATACTCAGGGGTAGAAGTGCTGCACCGATTGCGCCATTTTGCGCCAATCTGAGCTGCTGCGCCAGACTGCGCATAAGCAGCAATTTCCACAATAATTGTCGATTGGAAGTGTAAGCCGCAAATCTAGCCTATTATTATCGTCGACTGAGCAACACTGAGTGTTGGCTACACACAGGACAGGACCCGGCCGCATCCATATCCAGTGTAGTTCGATCGCGTTGTATTTTGGCTTGCTAGTGCTCGTCTCATCGCAGTTATCGCCGTGCTTTCTCTGCTATAGTGGTGGCGCCACCATAAGTAACTGTGAATTATGTAGCAGTACATTGAAACCTCGCTACTTTGTACCAGCCGGGAATGCGGCATGATCATGCACAGGGCAGTGCGTGCATACAAGCACAAATGTATATTTCTTAGAACAGATACAGTACCACAGCAGATGTTGCCGAAAGTACCCGCCAGAAAGTCTTTTCTTTATTCTGCCAAAGTGCAAAAAATATACCGGGCTGGCACTCTCGGAAGTATCGTATTGTAGCGCGTAGTGCTGATGCCAAGGAGCATTTTGTTCAAAGCTATTACGAGGGGCAGCCTATTCGGAATACGCAGCAACTGAAATAGCGATAGAATGGACACTCTCGGCTTTCCGCGATACATTCGTGCGCTTCTTTACCGCGATACTAAGTGACAACTCACATTTTCATTGAAATGCGGAGCGTTCGCGTGGACTCTGATAATGTCCTAGTTAATTGCGTGCAGTGCGGCGCCTAGGCTGCCCACGCCATCGCAGTCGGGCGGCTCGCACTACTGTGCATGCAGATTGTCTGAGTCATTTGCTCGTCCCCACTTCGCTACGGACCCAGCATAGATGAGCTGAGTAGTGTGTTTATATATAACTAGCGTGAGCATAACAAACTTCCGCCAAGCGAAGTGCGCCACGATTAGCTATAACCCTTTCCAGAGTGCGTGCTACTCCGTTTTACAGATTAGGTGTAATGTCAGTTGCAACGCTGCAGTGGCTAGTCAAACTCTTGCAGTAGGAGCGTTAACGTAAAGAAATAGTTCACTGTTTTTATCACCCTGAATATATTTTTCTTTTTGTTTCAATTCGAGTGTTAAATGACTTATGAGCATGTTTTGTACCACAGACATACACCCACACACATTTTGTAGGTGGGAAGTCTGGTAAGCTCATTAGTACTGAATGTTTAGTGGGAACGATTGGAATTTCTTTACCAGAAATAGCTTTGATTGACGATGATGTCTGAAGCTAGACAGCTGCATCTAAAATAATGCGCGTTGCTCCAAAACACACCTTTTAGTGCTTCGAACTTGCTCCAAAGCTTTCCTTTTACTGTGCCAAAGCTGTTCCAAAACAGCATCATTCTTGCTCCCTGAGCTGCTCCAAGACACTCAAGTTCATTTCCACCCCTGAATACCAGGAAAAGGAGGGTGACACTTTGATATTTCTTGGTACCAATTGCAGAGCATATTAAAAAGAAGGAAATGTACATTTTACAAAGGCTAAATGCAAACATGAAAGCATGTATTACAGTTGTTGTGCAAAAAAAAGTTTGTATGTGTCAATATTAAACATGTTATCACATAAAATAATCAGTATTAGCAACTATAGTAAAAAATGATTAAAAATGATGTGTTTCCAAATGCAACAAGATCGTGGATGTTTGTAATACAATTGGGAAGATCACTTCTTTTTGGTTATTTTTCAATAACAAGCAACGGCTGTGATCCCCATCTAAGCAGATGCCAAAGGCAATAAAATGACTGATTGTGTCAACAGTTACCTGTGTATTTTACAAGTAATAGACAGCTGGAGAAAAGCATGGCTTATTTAAAGAGAGATCATTGTCCCTGAAAGAGTGATAGAGGTGCACTTCATGTTGTTGTTCTATATTGAAAGTAAAAACAGTGCACCAGTTGCATACAGCAGATCTAAAGCAGCCTATATTTCACTTAGCTTTTTCTGCACTGTTGTAGGTGCTGATGCTCCCACATACTTGGCTATGTTGCCTCCGAATGTCAAATCACCCAAAGGAGAGTTTGTCTGGAATGACCGCACTGTGACACCATGGGACGAGTAACTGCAGAAAGGACCAGTGGTCTTGCATTTTTCACACAGGGGCACTTGCTGACCTATTTTATAATTGCAGACCACAATACCAAGCCTTCGAACAAAAGTGAAGTTGGAAAAATGTACCTGCTCACTTCATTGTAATATGAATGCTGGAGTGGCAGCTTTCTTTAGGAATCATGGAAAATCTTTATGGAAATAAAGGCTTTTTATTTACTGTGGGGAAGGAGGTTTGAGCTGCTTCTTCTATTGCCTTATTTGATCGTTTGGAGTGCTGTCTTGTGGGGGCTAGAGTAGGGATAAAAGTGTTGCGGACAGTTACTTTTCTGTGAATGCTGTCAGCGCTTTTCCGTGTATCGACATGTGTCACTGTGCCACATATAGGCATGTTCCATGTCAACAGTAGTTTTGCCTAAAGTGCATTGTGTACCTTGCAAGGGCCAAAGGCACTCGTCCATGGCATACGCGGTTATAAAAGGAAGAGGCTGCAGTTTCAACAAACAGCTCTTGAACAAGAGATCTTTCACTTGTGTGATGATTGGGTATGCGAGCTGAAAACATATTTTCTGTTGTCTGAATTAATTGTATTATGTATTATTACCATTTTATTTATTTCTATTTTTGATTGATATGTGGGATTTAAAGGGGCCCTGAGACACTTTTTTGAGTAACAATGGAATTGATTCACTAGAAAAGCGTGTTACCTCACAAATTCAATGCCGCAAAAATTTTAAGAATCCGTCCACTACGGGCGGAGTTACAAAGATCTGTCACACACTGCAATCGCATTCTCTCTTCTCTCGTCCCTACGGAAGCACTGGAAGCTAAGCAGGGAGGGATAGGAGGGGCAAACGAAAAATGTCACGCGAGTGTCGTGACCTTGAGCACTTTCGTTTTTTTTTTCTTCGAATACGTGGCCTTTTCAGTGCGATCACGCGTGGACAAGTGACGGCTTCCCGCGGCGATCTCTGTAACGACCGAGCGTGCCATTTTCTAATCAGCCAATGGCTGATAGATGAGCTTACTACGAGTGATGTTCGGGCTTATTGCGTGATTTGTAGAAAGAAGAGAAAGCAATTTTATCTAACTGATAATTTATTGTGGATTCCAGGCCGCATACTGCGCTATAATATTTGGCTCGCGTATTGTTGAGATCCTCTACTACCGATCGGCACCATTTTCTGACCATGCTCTAAAAGGTTTGCAGGGCCCCTTTAACGTCCCAAAACCACCATATGGTTATGAGAGACGCCGTAGTAGAGGGCTGTGGCAATTTCGACCGCCTGGGGTTGTTTAACCTTTTTATTTTTATATTTCATAACATTTTTGAATGACCTTTGAAATTTCCAACTACTAATTCTAGGCCAATCCCCCCTCCCTCGACAGGTTACGTGCCATTGTTTTTGAAGGAAACAAACTGTCCGTGCACAGGAGCAGGTCTCGTGGTGACTGACAGGCAGCCGTCATTTTCTAAACTACTTGAATCGAATTAGAGGAGGAGTAGTTTTAAAGTTAATCTGACAATGAGAGTATCCATAATATTGAGGTGTGCGTCTCAACAAAGTTTTCTATTCTAACACTTCTGTAACAGAATGGCCAACTCATTTTCATTTGAAGAACACTTAAAGTCACGCTTATATAGAACATCATTGCAACACTTTCAGTCATCTGCAATTTTAGTTAGAAGTAAATTGAGATGTTAAAGGGGCCCTGGAACATTTTTTAAAGTAACCATGGATTGAATGCACTAAAAGAGCTTATTTTCTCATGAATTAAACACCAAAAAATGTTAATAATCCGTCCAGTAGGGGTGTAGTTACGAAGATTTGTCGCACGTTGCAGTCGCATTCTCTTCTCTCTTCCCGGTAAAAGCGCTGGAAGCTAAGCAGAGGGAGATAGCATCAGCAAAGAAAAAAAAAAGTCTCGCGCATTTCGTGACCTTCACACTTTTTTTTTCTTCGAATGCGCGGCTTTTGCAGCGCAATCGCGTGCGTAGACAAGTCGCGGCCTCCCGCGACACCTCCTCTAAAAATTGAGTGCGCCATGTTCAAATCAGCCAATGGTTGATGGAAGGCTCTCTACGAGTGATTTTTGAGCTTCCTTCGTCATTTGTCGAGAAAAGAGAAAGCAACTTTTATCTGACCGATAATTCTCAATTAGGCCGCACGCTGCCCTATAATATTTGGCTTACGTGAATCGACAGGAAGCGTTTTCTGACCACACGAAAAGTGTTGCAGGGCCCCTTTAAGGGATTGTTGCTCAGCCGCAAAAAAATATTACAGCATATCCTCGGAGTGAATAATAATGAGTGGGGCGAAGCGTCTGTCTGTCTTTGCTTGTAGTTGCCGTGATCGAACAACGCCGCTGCAGTGCCGCTGCCTTAAACGTTTGGCGATCCGACCGAGTCTCGCGCCAACCGCCTGCGCAGCCCTGCCCGAAAGTCTCGGGCCGTTGCAGGCTTGTGTCCTCGGCATTCTGCTTGCGAATGCGCCTCCTGCCCAACCGCCTTCCGGGCCCCTGCCGCTTCCCGATCGCAGCCTTGTTAGAGTGTACTAAAAATGTCCCTTCTAGTTCACTGTAGCCTTGTCTTTCATCCGGAGACTCCGAGCAGAAGGAGAAAACGTGCCACATGCATTACATGTAGATATACTAACGCGACTTAGTGAGCATTTCAGAAACTACATGTGGCTACAAACATAGGAGGAAGGACAAACCTACGCCTTAAGAAGCTTCGCCCCTAAATTAATTTTGGTTCCCTAACTTAAATTAGGTTGGAGGGACCTTCGGTGATGCAAAAGCAGGATATATATTGACTGTAAGTTAAAGATATAGCAGGACGAAATATATACTAGAGTTCTAAACAGGCAGTACTGGCGGATTTAAACGCGACATTTTTTTTTAATCTAACGATTGGTATGCACAATATTGCGCCATGATCATGACAAATCAGGTCTCTAAAGATGTTTGCTATGGGCAATGTTCGTTCTGATCAACGCCTTCAAATCGTAAACACCTATACGACCCCAATTAAACTGGAAACGAAATGATGTGCATTGCTTTGCCCTAAGTTGTAGTGTTTCAATCCGTGATTACTGTACATGAATTTGAAGCATATTCGTGGGCAATTTTATGGCGAGGGATTTTTCTACATTCTTCAGTGCAAACGTTGTGACGACTCTGATGGGATATATGCATCTCCCACAAGATGTCACAGGATTTTTTCTTGCCCGCCTAATTCGAGTCAAGGGAAAATTTGAATGCATTAATTACCCTGACTTTGCATTCAGAGACGCGCAATTCCCCGTAACGGCGCAAGCGCTATAGGTACATATTCGCAGATGCAACCATGGCAACTACTGGGGTATCTCTTGTATTACAAAAAACTGTGGCAGCATGGTCTGTCGGACGCGTGGTGCGAAGGTTCAAGGTTCGAAGTTACTGCTGCGTTCTTCACGGTATAGCTGTCTCATGATGACGTTGCGTGTGTTGATGTGGTAAGAGAAACACTGTAAACCGTTCTCTATGTAAGACTTGCATTGACACCTCTGAAACTGCCATATTGGAGCACCAGCATGTCGGAACGCGATGTTTGCGATGTGTTGTCTAAGACCCGTGTATTCACAAACCAACCTTGGCCTCACCTCGAGTTTTTGTCGTATATCTGTACAGTCTACATGCGTTATAAAGACACAAAAGTGGTAACAAGGTAAAAAGTTACAAGATTGGTTCATGAATACTGGCCTACTTTGTACATTAAGAGCGATAAAGGCTTACAACCGATAATAAAAATTCAAGGTAAGGCAGAGGATAATTTGTGAATAAGGTGCTATTCGTATCACACACGCACTCTTTTATTATGTGTGCACACAGACGTTTGTGTCCCGCCATTCTCGCATTGATGCAACTCCTCTCTCTCTCTTCTTTGTCAAAGCCGTCTTTGCAGAGTGCCAGTACATATTAAGCTTCGTTCACGACTGTAGTGACCTACGTTATTCATGACACCATGAGCAAGCAATCTGAACGACATGTGCAGATACTTTCACCGATATGAACCAAACGTGCAAGCTATTTTTAGCTTCAAGCCGCCAATAATATTCGGTCTTTATTGTATTCTCTTTGTCGCCCTGCTCGATTTATTGATGCAAGACTAGCCTTCGGTTTCGGCTGTTCATGCAATCGAGAGCCCACAATTGAAGTATTGTGTGCTAGCGGAGTTTGCCACGTGCCGCTCGTTCTTGCTTTAAATTTACAGTCGTCCTTTCTCTTTTTTGTTTACCCCCTGTAATAACAGAAAAAGGAGACGCAGGAACCTTTTGTGGCCGCGAGAACACAACATTGTGTGTCATTGCCCTCCCCTCTGAAACTCTGGTAGCGATGTGCTCAAGCATGGCTTTCGGGCGAATACTCCCTGGAACCTAGAGCACTTTAATTGCTACAGAGGCAAACAGAAATAAAGTTGACTAAACTTTGCGAATGCATGAGAACTATCAGCTTGTATTCTGTGTGTTCACATAGGCTCATTTACAGGTTAGCTGAACTAGCGATATAAATCACTCTATGCAGTATATCAGGCAATAAATAGGTGAAAGCCCATTCATAGGATGCCTTATCTGATACACTAGAAATAATGTGGGCATTACAAAAAGATGTGCAAATTTTGTTACCATCGTTCACCTCATGCAACACGTTCCATAACAAATAAAAGAAGTGCTTTCTAGCGCAGCGTCAGCAAGTGATTGCTTTACTGGTCTCAGACCACGCCTCTTTGCCACAATGTGCATGCTAGCTGGTTCTGGAATCTTGGGTGCCAGTCTTCTCGATTTGTCGCAAAATTGTGGCATATCCAACATTGATGATCTCAGGGTATTGACTTACAAAGCCAGGTCACAGCAGCTCAGCATACCACTCCCATCTTCGGGTTTTGATGCCAACAGTGCCTCTGAAATCGCCAGTGCATTCTTCAGTTCAGCCAGTGACAATGCTGCAGCACTGCAGCTGGTGTGTAATTTCTGCATTGATTATCGCATCCAGACGGTGCCGACATGGCAAGGGTTTCTTTCGGCAGCCAGAACTGCCGGCGCTACTGACACCATTTGCCGAGCTTTGCCTGTACTGGGTGGCCACCCTCTACTCTGGTCGAAACCGGCATTCATCTATGCATGGCAGTATGTCCTTCAGTATGCACCT